CACAAACGCAGACAAATGAGAAAATAGAAAATTCAAAAGAACCATAGTAACCAGAAATATGAGGGAGAAAGAATACTAGAGTTTAATCTATATGGGAGTCCGTAGAGAGTGAATGCATCTACGCCATTGACAAAGATTTTCAGTCATATCACAAAATAGTTCCCAGTCGTTGGCTCTTAGCATCCCTAGGATGCTAACAAAGCAGCCTACATCTCTCTAAGTGACTGGCTCAACCAACTGTCTAACACTTCATGTCCTGGTTTCAGATTCTGATTTGACTACTTCGAATTCTTTTCCAAACTAATACTATGTCAGTTAATATTGCCCATATAGGAAAGCGATAGTTCGGGATTCGAGAAAAATGTGTCTTAGCCGTCTCAGTCGACTCACCTTCACAGTCTCATTGATTGACTTACCCTTCTTACTTAATACTACATCTAGCCTCAATATTACCCTTTATATAATGTCATCTGGAACGATAGACAGAACGCAAACACCAATAATCAAAGACCTCCTCACATATGTAAAAAAAGCTCGAGAGAACTGCTGAGTGGTGCACGCATGTCCATTGATCGTTAACCGAATGTCACATCTATGCCAAGAATCACGTGACCTGCCAAATAATCCCCCCACATGAGTCTTTTGTATCCTTGCTGAGACTGATGCAACTTTTTTCAGACAATTAAAGTGACCAACACATTCGAACGTTTCACACCCTGTCGCCAAACTAAGAGCCGGTGTACTCCAGTCCTGAAGCAACACCATCTTACATTTAACACGATTGAATATTATGCTAAACATTTGAAGATTTCTGCTCAAGTTGTGGTCATAGAAGGCTCTGCATTTTATCATCTAAGAGAACACAGTATCATCCCCGTACACTCGCTTTAAGTCAATCAGGAGGCTGACATAGAATTTGGCACCGATGTGCAGCAGTTCCAGTCGCCACAGTCCATGTAGCACACAAAGCAAGAGAAGAAAGTAGAAAAGCATAAGAGACAATAGACAGGGATATGAGACAAAAGGAATAGCAATAACGAAGAACAATATAGTTCCATTGGAAATTGTAAGTCACAAGGAGTGGATGCATCTGCGACAGCCAATGAGAACGATTTTGAGCCATATCACCGATTCTCTCCAGCCATTGGATTTTACCGTCCCGACTAGGATGTCTACACCTTCCTACGTGGCTGGCTTAAACTAACTGCTGTGGATTTCACTAACTGATGCCATGTTTTGGTTTGACCGCCACTAGCTCTTTTCCAGCCTGACCCTATGTCAGCTAACATTGCCCGCTGGTCGAGGAAGGCGACGGCTAGGCATACGTAACACATGTCCTAACCATCTCAGTCGACGTAGCTTCACAGCCTCGTCGATTGATTTCCCCTTCTTACCTACCACTCGACGCCTAACCTCAGTACTACTTACCCTATTATACCACTTCACATGGCAGGTACCTATGATCAAAGACAGCTAGTTTTTTCATGTCTTCCACTCTCAATGGCCAGGTCTCACAGCGGACTGCTGAGCAGTACACCCGCCCTTTGGTCGACAGCCAGCCGGATATCATGTCTACGCCAGAGACGGTGCAAACTGGCATATGCGAAACTAGCCCTCTGTATCCGTGCTGAGATTTCGTCAACGATCAACCCGTTGGGGCTCACGTAACAAATCAATCCTTAAGTCGTTAAAGTCAGAGGTCAGATTCAATTCTATGAGTACTTCTATGATAAAATTAATCAAGAATGAGAATAAACCTTCAGGCAAGCACCGCGAAATGCTATGAATGGAAACACGATGACAGAAACTCACATACATACATACACACATATGTACACAAAAACACAAATCATGTAATGCAATAATAATAATATTATTATTATTCAGTATTAGTATTATTATTATTATATAATAAGATCATAGGCTATGTTTTCTTTTTACACAATAAATGAATAGCCTTCATTCATAGTCCAAAACATTTCTAAAGGACAATTAGGAACAGTCAAGCACATACATTCAAACATACATACATACACACACGCACAAACAGACATACAGACAGACAGACAAATATACATAGTGATGAGAATAAAAGAGAGAAGACAAAAACAAATTTACATCAAAATTAAAAATGATAATAATAATTATTATTATTATTATTATTATTGACTTTGGTTCCTTCACATAGGCAAATAATACAAAAAAAGGTTAAAAACAAACAGAGAAAGTAACCATGGGAACAGGAATGAAGAGAAATTAAACGATATCTACATTAAATTTATAGGGACTTACGATGCTTTTTAAATCCGGGTGTACATGCAGGACATAAAAGAAGACTCAAAAAGGGGGGAGGAGGAAGAACAATAAATAATACAAAGCATAAATATTATTTGTCACTTGTGATTCATAGTAATCATAATTGTAATAACATTAAACCATGATGATGGTAGTACTTATAATAAAGAGAAAATGCATTGCCTCAGTCACAGGTATAAAGCACAAAAATGTATAAATATTTGGGAGGTTGGTGGGGGGTCCAAGGCGGAGGCGGAGGGAAAGATTGCATACAACACAATCGGAAGAGATACAAAACAAAAGATTTTTCGGCGGTAAAAAACAATGGGGTAGGGGGAGAGAGTGAGGGAAAGAAGGAATTCCATCATATATGCAGAGAGAAGTTATCAAACTTACTTTCTTTATACAGATTTATGTTCCTCTTTTATTTAAAGAAAAGGGGAAAGCAACTACTCAACTGCCCACCGCCCCCCCCCCTAGCTCCGTCCGTGAGCTCCACGCAGAAGAAGCAAACTGCGCATAAATAAATACATAAATATACATTAAATGATCATATCAGCATTCATTTTATACAGCACAAAAGTCTCACTCACAGTGAAGGGAAACACAAAGAGTCAAAGGAAAAAGGAAATACCATATTCATTTTCAAGAGGTAGGTGGTGGTGGTAAGCAGGTATAGCTCAAAATTAAATACATTGAGGGGAGGGGGGCACGAAGGCAATGGATGATGACGGCAGGGGAAATTTTTCTAAAAAAAACAAATAAACAGCAACTTTTGGCGCCTTCTTTTTCTCTCCCACCTGCTAGACAGCCCCCACCCTCTTTGTCACACCCGAAATTTAATCTTCAGGATTAATTAATTAATTAGTGATACATATATATTTTGACAACAAACAGACAGACAGACAACCTTTTGTCTGTCTGCCTGTCTATCCGCCCGCCCGCCTGTCTGTGTATTGGTGTAAAACAGAGAGTGGAATTAATGATAGTCGTCGTAAGCGCGCCTACGCTTTAATTGCACTAACAGAAAAATAATCAAAGGGGTCTATAGTATTTGGTTCAGATGAGAAAAAAATAGATGGACTAACTGTCGGACTGATTGATTGATTGGTTGAAAACGAATAACCTCGCAGAGAGAGAAAAAGGGGGAAAATAAAAGGTTTTACATTATTATAATAAAAAAAAAACATACATTTGCGTAGGCAGAGAGTGGGTGGATAGGTGAAAAGAAATAAACAAACAAACAAAGAAAAGGATAATTACATATTAAAAGACAAAAAATAAATAAATAAATAAAAAGTAGGCATTAAACTGTTGCATTGTATGCATACACAAATATAAGATATGTATATATAAATGAATAGATTTCTTGTAATAAAGGAATTACAACATTATGGGAATAAAACGAATAAGTCATTATATATTATATATTGTCCAATAGTGTCTAAATAACGATATATATTTATATATTACTAATAAAAGATAATGAGGATGATAATAATAATAACAGGAGTAATATTTCCACTCCATTGTTGGGACTACACAGCCCCATGTACACACGCCTACAAAGGGGTAACTGAGTATTGAATTTAAAGCCTATGGTAGATGAGGAGGGGAGGGGAGAGGGGACAACGACGATGACGAGAATAAAGGAAAGGAATAGCAGAATTGTAGGATGTTGTAAGACAATGGACTTATAAAAAGCAAGTAAATGACACAGAAAGAGGAGTATAATATAAAAACATGTGAAAACAAAGACAAAAGTAGCGCTGTTTGTATTTGTACAACACAGCCTGTGTGTGTGTGTGAATACACTGGACACGAGGGAGTTAGAACAACCACCACCACCACCAACACATAAACACTCACGCACAGTGATATATTATGTAAAACAAAATAATTAATATATGATAACAGACAATAGTAGTGCCTAATATCCGCCCCCACAGCAACCCCAAAAAAAGAAGAGGAACAGGGGAAACATACATAATAATAAATGCATATAATCGATTGTGAACAGTGAATAATTGGGTGACGATATATATAAATATATATATAACAAAGTTTTTATTGCTGAAAAATATTACACATATAAACTGATTGTCTCATAAGTAAGCGAAAAAAAGGAAAGCATAAAGAGGTTCAAGCAAGACATAATTATACATATATACAAGTAATAATACATAATGAAATTATTGGAGGGGAGGGGAGGCGAGGAGAGAGCGGGGGTCGGTACAAACACCCTAGACAAGTCAAATCAACTCAAATCCAGTAGTAAGTACTCTGATGATCAACGCGCTACACTACCACCACCCCACACAGGAAATATTAAATGCAGTGTTGTTTAATAACTAGAGGTGATATATAAAAACCGGTGAGCAGTGAGAAAAACAGGAGGGAAGAAAGAAAAGAAAGAAGTTGGTTCAAAAAATGACTAAATTTCTCAAAAAAAGCAAAGAGAGAAAGAACGGGAAAAAAGAACACTATCCAACCATTGAATATTGTCTTTCTCATGGTGTTACAAGGAAATCAAATGAAAATAAAAATATATTACACTACTGTTTAACCTATTTACTTTTCACATAAATAAATAAATAAATAAGTTTCGCTTGGGTTTGATAACAACTCAATTAATTACCCGGTACCGGGGTATGTGTATAAACCACACACGTATTATGTGTGTATGACGGAGAGAGACGGGGGTAGGGAGGGCTAACGACACCCTCACTAGCCAGTTAATTATTAAAGCCGAAGAGTACAGTAGCTACAGGAGCGAGATTCGAAACTCCCGCAAAATAAATAGATAAATAAAATTTTTAAAAAAAAGCAACAACTGACTGATCTATGTGACAACAAGATGTCAAGCAACCGCAGAACTACTTGTAGAAGTAGACGTTGATGTTGTTGGCGTTGCTGTTGTACTATTCGACTGATGCTGAGATGCAAGTGTCAGTGAATGAATTGGTCCAGAGGATGCAGCAGCTGCAACAGCAGCCGCCGCCAAATACTGTTGTTGTTGTTGCTGTTGAACTTGCATATACTGTTGATGCGTTGAATGAGCTGCTGCCGCGGCAGCAGCAGCATACTGTGCCGGTACTACACCAGGGATAAATTGAGCAGCAGCTTGAGGGAATAAACTAAATGCAGCTACTGATGCACCAGAGTGTGCAGGTGAAATAAGACCTTGTTGTTGAAGCATAGCAGCAGAATGTTGTTGCATTAGCTGTTGGTGTTGTTGTTGTTGCTGCTGCTGTTGGGCTTGTTGTTGCTGTTGTTGTTGAGCTTGTTGTTGCTGCTGCTGAGCTTGCTGCTGTTGGTGTTGCTGTTGAAGTTGTTGGTGTAGTTGTATAACTTGTTGTTGATGCTGTAACATTTGATGCTGATGATCTTGTTGCAGCTGATTAGTTTGATGCTGAAATTGATGCGCAAATTGAGGCTGATAAAACTGGAACTGAGGTCTCGACTGTTGTTGTTGTTGTTGTTGAGAAGGATGCTGTTGTGATTGAAGTTGTTTCGACTGTTGTGTCTGATGATGAACAAACTGTGCTGACTGTGGCTGCTGTTGTTGTGAAGTTTCTTGTGACTGTTGGCTGTCCTGAGGTTGTTGTTGCTGTTGCTGACGTTGTTGTTGTTGTTGATGAATGAAGGCAGAAACATTAGACATTTGTTGTGAACCAGGATAGGCAACAACTTGTGGATATTGTTGTTGCTGCTGTTGTTGTTGTTGATTTTGATGAAACTGTCGACCTAAGGCTGCAGCAGCCATCACAGCAGCAATATTAGTATTCGACACTGAAGTAGATAGACTATTCGCAGAGACAGAATCAACTCCTGACGATACTTCTGATCTTTGTGTTACACCACCACCAGCAGCACCACCACCACCACTAGACGTACTAACTGGAAATGAAACCACAGAATTTCCCATCTTCTGAGCTGAAGCAGTTTGATAGACATTAGAAGAAGTATTAGCCACAGAACATGCACTAGCATTATTATTTTCAGACACTGTATTCGATGCGCCCAAGGAGAAAGAGATAGCAGGTGATGATGCAGCTGTATTTGTAGAATTTACTAAAAATGGCATCACCTGTGCATGTGAAGGGTAGGATGCTGCAGCTGCTGCTGCTGCTGAATTAGTTGTAGTAAATCCACTCATCGAATTAGTTTGATGATTTGTTGGATAAAAAGAAACAGAATTCGCTGCTGTTGCAGCCTGTGAAAATTGACGTGGATGAGCAGAGAATAAAGCTGGATGATATTGAGCAATACCAGCCAACGAGGCTAAAGTTGAATGATGCTGTGATGGTATCTGCAATTGTTGACAAGTGGGCAGGGGGAAAGCAATTGTTGACAAAGAAGCTGAAAGTTGTTGATTATCAGCGGTCTTTTCATTGCCTGTAGATGAATTCACATTATGATAGGATGGAAAGCATAGACTATTTTGCCCGGTTGTTGTACAAACATTTGTAATCGAAGTAAAATCGAATACACCGGCTGACGATGGATTATTCCCACTAACCGATGGTGTAGCAGCAACAGTCAGCGGGAGACCAAGAGTCTTTCCGATTGAATTCACTGTTAAAAAGGAGGCTGCAGAGGCTGCGGCAACAACTGCTGCAGCAGCTGCAGCCGCCGCTGCTTCAGCATTCGCTGTAGCATTCGCCGCAGTCTTTGATTTCTTACCACCACCGCCACCGCCACCACCGCCAGTATTTGTAGCACGAGGTCGAGGTCCATACATATGCGTTTTTTCATGTAGTCTACGTTTATCAGATCGGGCAAAACACTTACCACAATGTGAACATTCATATGGTTTCACTTTTGTATGTATACGTTCGTGTATTTTAAGCTTATCTGACCTGGTGAATCGTTTAGGACAAAATGTACATGCATATGGACGTACACCTGTATGCGTACGATGATGAATTTTCAGCTTATCTGACCGCGTAAATCTTTGCTTACATGTAGTACATTCAAATGGTTTTAAATTTAAGTGAGAGATTTCATGCAGGCGCATTTTATCCGCTCTAAGAAATGCCTTGCCGCATATAGAACATTTATGCGGTCGTATATCAGAATGTGTAAGTTTATGATTTTTCAAAGATTTCATACCAGAATATCGTTTAAAGCATTGATCACATTGATATGGTTTTATGATGGTGATATCTGCATGTGGTGGAGGCGGCGGATCACCTAAGGAAGGATCAATTTTTAGCAATATTTCCTCTGGAAGCGTTGGTAATGGAGATAGGACTGAGGATAAAGGTGAAGTACACGATTCATTGAGGGCTGAAGTAACTGGATTAGAGGATATAGAATTTGTTTGACTTGTCGATGTTGTTGGCTGTGTTATTGCTGTTGTCGCTGTTGCTGTTGTTGCTGCTGCTGTGGATACATTACCATTCATTGAAATTAAACTAAACGAAGGCGTCATTGTAGAACACACTGTACTCGACAGACTAGCACCACTACTACTGCATGTCGGAAGAACACCTGTATTCGAAGTCATTGTGTTAGATACATTATCAACATGTGATTTTTTGATAGCTTTAGATTTCCGCTTTTGTTTAACTGGAGCATTAGTTGTAGTGAATGAAGGAAAATTACTAGTATTGAGTACAGATGATGTCCCTATGCCAGATTGATTAGGAAGTGTTGTTTGAAGGTTTATTGCTGGAGGACTTTGCATAAAACCAGAAGTATTTGGGACAACTGATGAGGGTGATAGCAGCTGATTTGCATTGGCAGTTGTGTTGCCAGTCTGAAGATTCACTTGTTGCTGTTGTTGTTGCTGTGCAAGAGCGAGTTGCCGCTGCTGTAAATGTTGATGTAACTGTTGCTGTTGTTGTTGTTGTTGAGAGTGTGGCGTTGAAAGCCTAGTCTGTTGTTGCTGCTGTAGTGAGTGCTGTTGTTGTTGCTGTTGTCTAAATTGTTGCTGTTGCAATTGGATTTGTTGTTGTAACTGCAACTGGTGCTGTTGTTGTTGTTGTTGTTGCAGTTGTAACTGTTGTTGATGCAATTGTTGTTGCTGTTGGTGTTGCTGTTGTTGTTGTGACTGTGTCGGAAGAATAGAAGAATGTTGTAAAGTTAAAGATACTGAAGGTTGTAAACCAAGGGGAAAAGCATTACTTGCATTTGTGACTGTAACTGAATTGTCCACACTAACAACAGAAGTACCATGCGTGGAGTTGGCAGCAGCGGCTGATGATGACGATGTTGAGGAAGAGGAGGAGTCAGACACCCGCTGTTGTTGCAGTGATGATGTAGCAGCATTAGGGAATTGAAATGAAGCTGCTGCGCCTGGATGTACTGCTGCGGCAGCTACAGCAGCCGCTGCATTACCAGCTGCTGCGGTTTGAGCAGAAAGTTGGGTCCATGAAGCAAAATGTGGATTTTGAACCATGACTGAATCACATGCAGAGGGAGGAAGAGAGGGAGGAACAAAGCGAAATTCGTGTAAGGACAAGTTGACTAATACAAAAAAAGAAACATATTAGTACAAAAAAATTGATGAGTTATACAATACATATATATAAATCAAATACCTACAAACAAATTCTTGACAATCAATCTGATGCTCATTATTGACTGACTACAGGATGACGTCGCTTGAAGTTCTACTGAAAAGTCAGTGGAGTCTACCGGGTAGGCGGTGAGAACAAATATTCACCGATGATACTGGCTGGTGGCAATAGCACTAAAATCACGAATTGGTAGGAGTTAGAATTCATGGGCTACATTAAGTTGGATTCCAGCGGCTGAATGGTTTACGAGTTTGCCTTGTAACCGGAAGGTCCTGGGTTCGAATCCCAGTGGGCGCGGTAACAGCAGTCCAGTAACCCCCTGATTTTCAACAGTTGTCTAACTGATGTCAATCCATGGCCAACATAGATATCAGTTTTTAAAACATGACCATTTAGCATGTGCTACAGGGTAAAGCAATTCCAAGCAATTCCAGGATCTTAGAAACGCATTGAAGAATTGTTTGAAAAAAATAGTCATTGAAATAAGCACCTTAAAATTGCAAAAAAACAAACTGACAAAAGAGGAAACCACATCCTTATCAATACTGACTCAGTCTCAACACATAACGTTTCACAGAAATGCAACAGTTCAAGTTGTCACATTCCATGCAGTACACAAAGGGAGACAAAAGGCAGACAGAAAAAACGGGTTGAAAAGGACCATAATAACCAGAAACGTGAGGGATAAAGAAAAGTAACATAGAAACACACTGGGGTTTAATCAACATGGGACATCATATAGAGTGAATGCATCTGTGCCATTGAGCCGTATCTCCAATAGTCTTCAGTTATCGACTCTTAGAATCCCAAGGAACCCAATCAGGAAGCCTACATCTCCCTAGGTGGCTGAAGCTAATTGTCAGTTTTCGTGCACTGATTCCGGATTTCGGTCTGACCACACCTAATTCTTTTCCAACCTAATCCTAAGTGAACGAACATTTCTTATCAAGGAAGGCGATGCCTAAGCATACGTAATACATGTCCTAGCCATCTCAATCGATGTAGCTTTACAACCTCCTTCCCTACTTAACACTAGACTCCTAACCTCAATACTACTCATCATATTATACCACTTAATACGTGAGATAGGACGCAGACTATGAATGATCAAAGATTGCTAGCCTTCCACTTTCAATGACTATATCTCACAGCCATAAATGAAGACAATTTTTTTTCACTAACCTCCTCGCGCTCTACAGTTTACTACAGAGTCACTAACGTTAGCTAGCATACAATAAATATTTTTCGATACAATTGTGTCAATTTTACATTGAAAGATTATTATGATGTTCCTAATGTGAAAAACAATACTAATACTAACACTTAATTACCTAGTACAGGATACTGTTATAGGTTATACGTACAGTTTGATGTGTCAGGTGACATGATGCTATTCAGTTTTGTCCAGGAAGAGAAGTAAGGTGAGTTTTGAAATCATGGGATATATCGGTTGGAAGTTTAATGATAGTGATGATGATGAAGCCAATGAGAAAACATTTTCACCGTTAAAAAACACAAATGCATTCTCACACTAATGCATGACTGGATTCTATTTATAATATCGCTTCTCATGGGCATCAACAACGAAAGTACTCTGTACACAATCCAGCACGGTGACCCTGGTCTTCCTGTAGAAATATGCTCATGTAACTAAAACCTAATAACCTCCGCCAGATAATTTCTCTTCACTGGTTTCACATATCCAGAAGGGATATTCCCACGAAAAAGAGAATAAGAATGTGAATATACGGTGCATATCGCCAGACCGGTGGGTAACGATGAACCATTTAAGGGAGTTCGGAAACGCTGATTCTAATTTATAAGACATCACAGACTCGATAGGAACGGATAGTAAATCAACCTGATTTGGTCATTGGTAATTATGAGAATCCAGCTATCAAGATTTACAGATGACTTTAGACAAATTAACGTAGAAGCTTTCACAAAAGTGAATCAGCTGAAAATGAGATCCTTAGAAAGGATTGTTTTAAAAAGACGACAAATTTAACGAGACTACAATGGTCAAACATATGAAGGAGATGGGTGGATTTAATGAAGCGTAGTGATGTCTGGAATATTAAGGATGATCAATAGTTATTATTTTCGCACAAATGAAAACGATTTTAGTCTCCTACTATTGATCCTTGCTATCCAACAGTCTTCCCTACAACAGCAACCTATACTTCCAGACAAGTGATGACCCAATCCAACTTCAGCAAAGACTGCTTTTCGATGAAGATGATGGGTCGGAATGTGTAACATGTGTTCAAGTTGTCGTAGCATATGGAAATTTAGACTCATTGAGTAACCCACCTTACTCAGGCTAAACGCCAGTATTACATGTTGTACAGGTATATTACAGATGAACCATGTTACAACACACTTGTGATCAAAAGTCTGTAAGCCTTTTATGTCTCTTGTTTTCAGTGGTCATTTTACGGCTATGAAGTAATGCATTTCATCAAATGAGTGAACCATATACAAAACACGGTCAAATTTCAACTCAGTATTTAGCAGACTGTATTTCTCCAACTTACTAATCTAAAAGGACTACATAGTCATTGTATTCTAAACCAGCAAACTTTTTCCCAGTAACAAGTTGCCTATCATTCACTGCAGCATTTTACATGGCTTTCGCAATGTTTTATTTGAGCTTGCTGGACATACAGTTCACGTCTTAATGCATAGTGGCAGGCAAACAGACTTGGTTAGAACGCTGGAAAACCCTGTACCTGATGTACATCGCATTTCACAGACCCATATATAAAACCCAGTAAAGTACCTGGAATAACTTTTTTTTACATCGTAAGTGCACTTACCACCGGATGCTGTGACATCCATAGCCGACCTAGTTCATATCGTATTATGTCTTAGAGATAAAGCTGCACTACTTGAGTGAATCTCCACTTATCATTGCTAATGTGCTGCTAAACCAGAGCGTTGTCTCCACCTACGAAATGGCAGGTAGCAGTTCAGATACAATTAAATATGAGTTGAAACATCAATCGATTAGCCTCCCTAAACAAATGTACTTGACATACATGGCAATATTATCTGGGGAGCACTTCAACCGCAGCTCACTGGCTTCAGCAATTCACTTTCAACCGGTGCTATGTATCCAGTCCCACGCCACCGACTTCAGCCTGGGGATCCACGTAGAATCATTAATTTTCACACAATAAGTGGTTCATAGCCTGGTACATGACAACTGCTCTGGGTAACTGAGTTCTCACTAACTCTGCAGCACAAAAGACATTATATACTATCAATCAAGAGGTGCTGTAACAATGTCTGATCCAGAAGGGTGTCGAGAAAGCACATTGCCAACATATTGAAAACTCTGTGAAAACACCTCAAGAAGATCGAGAACCAACTGCCTACGTAATAATCAAAGCAAAATGACATGATAATGGGCAATCAACTGTACGCTAAACATCACCAAGTAAACAGTACTGCACTACTGTGTGCTACATTAAATAAATACATGTGGAATGATAGCCTTAATTTTCTACCAAGCCAATTCTAAGCTGAAAAAGGCCAGGTCAAACTTTAAGTACTATTGACTCCCAAAGGAGTGCGATCGCACCAATGACCTTGAATCGCTCATTGAGCAAGTTAGTGAAACCTGGAGAATAATGTCATCAATAAAATATGTTCATCGAAGAATTATGTTATTAAATGGGATATCTGGCAAGTTTCAGCTTAGTCTAAGCCAAGGACAAGTTAGGGTTAGGTTAACCTAATAAAGGCGACATTAGGGTTAGTTCGAGTTAGATCATAGTTCGTTTAGGGGTATTTTCACGTTAGGGTCAGGTTCAGGAAAGATTAGGGTTAGGGCTAGAAGACCTAAATAATTACATGCATAGAATGTGGTTAAATTACTCTGTTGATATAAGAATAGAACTTGTGAACTGCGGTAAAGTATAATTCCACTGTGGATAAAATTTATTTTGATAAAGTCTCAGTGTTATACCGTAATATTTACTGACGATGTTTCGAGCACAATATATTGCCCAGTCAATATTACTGTACAACACTATGAGACTTTATCAAAATAAATTTTACCCACAATGGAATTATACTCTGTTGATACTCCTAGCTAAAACTGAGAGCTATTTTTATCACATGTGAAAAGAAGGTATCCTCTGCAACACTTTTACACAGTTTCTATGCATTTTTTTCATATATATATGTATTCCATACACAGAAATGCCACCTTCACCTGATCAGTGCGTTCGAGATCATTCGCTGATTGGTAGTTAGTGGTGCTTAAAGTTAAACTTAGCCCTGAAAAATATACTGAGACCCGATACAACTTGATGCTATGAGCTGCCATTTGGGCGTGAGAACTCATGACACCACTTGTTCGCTCAATCTAGCAAAACAAGAGATAAGCTTATTCATAATTTTAAAGCAGGGTTTATATCAATAAGCCATAATTCCAATTATGCCTGAAACATGTAACAACCACTCTAAACGATGAAGGTTCATAATTCCATCGTGTAGTTTACACTTTTTTTCTATTGATATTAATGTCAATAAAAGCATTCTCAGTGTGACTCCCTTTGCACTCATTTTCAAACTGAATCCTTTAGGAACAAGGTATACAATATTTACCAACTGGTATCTGTGACCCTCGTAACGTACATACATACAATAATGATGACATTGGATTCTCTATAAATAATATGGATGAAGTGATGTTAGACTCAAATGACCACATTTTATTCTATTACCTACCATGTTTCAAAATCAACAAGACTAACAAGGAAACAGTGTAAAGGTTTTTAAGGCATTAAAAGCTATACTAGTCAAAATAATTCAGAAATAAGACACACATTGATTCGTTATCTATTTCAATGCAAAATGTCAAATAGTGTAGCAGCATGAAAGCAAATAAACGACTTAAGGGCAGTAAATCACCGCCTTGTCGCACGTTGTCCTTATTTTTGCGCAACAGTATATTCAACATATCTGAATACTATCCGGAGTATTTATGAAACTAAATTTATAAGAACTATTTATCCATTCCTCAAGTTTACATGTATTTCGCAGAGCGATTCCTTTAATTAATTATTTTTCAACCGTATAGATACTGAAGAAGTTATAACATCAAATTTACTATGTTGATAGCCTATTGCTTTGATAGGACATTCTTGTTAAAAGAAAAAAGAAAACCTAACAACAACAGGCATATTTCTGCCTCAAAATTATTTTCTTGTTCAGGTCGGCTTAGACAGAACAAATTATACTAAGATTTCAGTCCTAGACTGTGAGCGGCTCATGTTTTGTATTGTATAGTCGCTACCAAAAAATTAGTCGATAAGATGGGGTTCAAGTCTACAACTTACAAACTGAAAAAAAGTAAAGTGTACTGTTCAACTATTGATGGAAGAGAGGGACCAATTAATGGAATGCCCTTCTTAGATCAATTTATTGACCCCGTCCCAATAGCCGAGGCCCCTGGGATGCTGAGGATACATACTTGGAGGCTTATGATAAAATAACGTTAAAAATTAATGTTACTCAAAATCTGAATGCATTTAAATGCACTCGGAAATCAGCTACACTTTTCATCTGAAGGTTGGTAATACCACCTAACCAAACATGAGTGGATAAAGTCAGGTCTGGACTCTTAACTTAATCGTTGGGAGTCAAGTGCTTATTTCAATAAACCAAAACACTATAGCTCGAAACAGCCTACCGTCGTGGAGCTAATATTCCCTTCCTATTGCCTTTGAAACATCAAATTCCCATTTAATACGGTACCATAATGTTATGTTAATTTAATTCAGTAAAAATATTATTTCGTCCCAAAGGCCTGATATTGGACTATAAAAATGACTATAACATGGTATCTCACACAATGATCGAGTTCTATGACAGCTTCACTTTGAAAGCATTTCCACAAAACGTACATGGCGCTTTCCAAGTTCTGCACTCCAACTGATGTAGTAATTTAGAGACTTAAGTATCGTTACTTGAAAGCGCAACAGCCAGTAGTACACACAATCCGTAGCCAACATAAATACTTCTATCCTACTTTTGAATAGTTGGTGAAAATAAGCAACGACGCAAGATGAAATCAGACAGTAAAAATCGGAACCAAATTTTCGACCTATATGTTAACCCTAACGCTTATTTAAAACAAACCCAATGCCTTCAAAATAATCTCTTCAAACTAGGAGAATTAGCTTCTAATAATTTCGGTTATGTATACTTTTCTCAGTTCTAGATGTAGCCCACTGAATTCATAGACTGTATACATCTGTTTTTTTACTCAGAGTTAAACAGAAGTAAAGTTCTTCATTCGGAAATCAGATCTGAGAACAGGAGCCAAAGACTGCTGCAGAGAGACCTCATTTAGAGTGACTAGCCGGTAAACTATTGGTCAATAGCACAACTAGTAACTTATAATGATATGGAGAACGTCAAAAATTAGTACTTTCCACACTTTAAGTAAACAACTTATTTGGCTTAAAATGCACCCAGAACTCATATTTTCAGAATATAGACTAAGCTTACATCATTATACATACCAACGACTACTATTATGAAAGTAGCATGAAGTAATATTCAAAATTATCAGAACACAAAGCTTTCACCTGCTGAAAGTTTTGTGTGTAAAATGAAAGCATATAACTAGTCAGTTATCAAAGTGTATCAAACGGCAATGCATAAAGTGATCACTTATGCAATTCATAGAGACTAATTATTCAGAAATCCCTATCAGTTTGTTCACAAATAAAATACTATACCTGGAAATCCTCCATTTTCCATTAGTGAATGGTTTCCAGCCAATGATAGGAAAACATTATCCATAGCAAAATAAAAACCACCATAAAAACAAGATTGGTAGCTCCCGCCTTTGTTTACAGTACTATTTGAAACAAATGTCCGAGTGTTACATTAGAAAGTCAGAAAACAGGTTTAATGCCATCCTGTTTGAGAAAATCAGGTAAAATTACAGATCTTACATCACACCGTGATAAGTTATATGAATTTATCCCAAGTTAATTGCGATTGCCCAATTCCCAACCATCGACTGAATACATTACGTTTTCGAAATCTGAGCTCTTTCTTCAAAATTTGGATTAAAAATGAGGTCCTGCATATTGGACGCAAAATCACGAGATTATTTTCAGCATTTTCTGTGATATCATACGGAAGGTCGCTAAAGATAGAAGATGCATTGAGTTATTGTGCTATTTGGCTAAATTTGAAAAGTGTAAGATTACAATAACCTATATGTACCATGAGCAAATGTTTCGGGTGAATAATCGCTATTCATTAAATGATTGTGCTTCGTGAGTGGTGAAACATTTGTAGTTCTGGATAATCTATATATGATGCATCGATACGTTCTCTCCAACCTCAAGCTGACTTTGCAAGAGCCTCACATATTTACCACTGCGTTTTCCATTGACATGCCCCTTAACCTACATTGGGATCAGGTGTATGGTCTGCAGAATTTTCCCAGAAGCGCTGACTAATAATAAGTCCTCTCCCGTCATAACTATCATATAATGAACTGATGTGTTCAAACATCTTATGAAGTAGGATAGTGACAATGATAATGGGTGATACTGGATTCCAGGGAGGTTCAGAATGCAGACACAATTAGAAAAACCCAGATTTGTTGTGTAAAATGAAGATATTTAGTTAGAAGTCAGCATAAAACATACGGATAACAGTTCGACATTGACATCAGATTCGGAATCCGGTCATGCAAGACACGAGCACCTATGACTCATTCCATGAAACATTGTTGATTAAATAGAATCAAACTGACGCTTAAAGCTGTACAAAGACATGATCAGGATGACACTAAAACTGACAGAGGCATTTAATCGCTTGAAAATAAGATCATGTATCGACTACCGACATTTTTCAGAATATCTCAGCTCATGTCTTAATGTCGTGACATAAACATGAACTTCGCTGTCATATTTTTGGTCACTAGCACACTTGTAATTCGGTATATGTGACTCAACTTTCCTTCGTTACCTCAGACTCCGAGATATAAATTTTGCAAGTCGTGTCAACTTCAATACAGTAACTCCCAGCCACCTCAAGCTTAAGTCACAAAATGTTTGCACATACTGTCAGTTTCTATGAAAAGTGCTACCCAGTGTGCCGCCAGATACAATTTCCTCAAAACGTATTTGTTGTCTTGACGAAGGGACATCGCAAGATTGATTCAAAGCAACTGGCAAATGCAATGTTTGCAAAGATTTAATTGAATAGGATTATCAGAAACTCAGATTGGTCAAAAGCTAGGGTGAATTGAACAAGATGAAATGGCTAGCTGGAGACTGTAGGTGAAAATAAACCCGGACGAAATAACCTGCTAGTAGAAAACAGTTTGTTAATTTCAGTGACACAGTATGGTGCACAGTAAACGTCTCAGACAACTGTAAAGTGCACCGAGTTCATGAAGTTTGAAATACCTCATCAATTTTCATTTCACTCATGAGGAACACTTGGCATAGTCATTTATTCTAGCAGTCAGAACGTTCAGAACAATCGCTGGCTGCAACGAAAAGTGCTACACCATACTCAGAAAGTCCACTGCGAACACGTTGGCAAGAGTATTGAGTAGCTTATAAGCTTAGTCTACATTTAATTGTTACGTCAAAAACGAAAAAGAGAACAAACGCGGTTCGTTCAACGTTTGCGTTATGCTATGGGACTAGCACAGGTGTTTCTACAGTCCCATTATTGTAACCAATAACTCTTTAATTAGTTTTCGTTAATCATAAAAAAGCTACGAACCAAGTCACCCATTAACATGGTGACTGATAGCACATATATGCTCGCAACAATGAGCAACACAACTTCTATAAAATATGGAAGTGAGACGCGCAGCTTACCAATACGCCACAGGCGTCAAGCTGCTGTATCACTACCACCTACTGTGGCCGGAACTGACAGCAAAAGTATGCTGACAACTAGTAGTAGCATCGCTAGCACCTGGTCCTGACATAGACCTCTTCACTTCACTTTAAGCCCATGTCACAAAACTTCAGATACCAAGTCCAGCTTCGACACTTACTTCAGAAATAAAACGACTATAGCTGTCAGTAGAAGATCCTAAGAATGAGATGTGGGATATAAGGTGTGATAAGGCTATGAATGCAGGATGTTCAAAAAATTTGGCCAGCATATCTGAACTATCAACACAGATTAGTGACATGAAATCACAGGTCTGAGAACTTGCACCTCTGAACAACTTGACCAGAACCATAAACCCTGGCGAACTTGACACAGAATCAGTAACTAAGGTAGACACCTTGATAAAATTCATCACAACAAAGGTTATCAGAAGACAAGATACCAAACTAAGTGTGATAGTCTATAATATGCCGGATAATGAAGGGTTGAAAAAGGTTCAAAGTATCTAACTTAGGGCGGCGAAAATGCCTAACTCCCAAACAAAATGCCACAGAATGAAAAAGAGTCAGCACAAACAATGCTGCCCTATACGCCTTCAGTTTGAAACACAGAGGCTCAGAAATTCACCAATTCACAACCTTTCCTATTACAGGAAACAAGTTAAAAACAAATAAAAGTTGTAGCGGATAAGAAAGTGATTGAAAGACGTGCTTACAATCACCCCAATAAACCTAGTGGTAAGAAGAATAAGACACCGCAAGTCACCGAAATAGTTAAACCCACGGCCAACATGGCAGAGCTCATATTCTCCGTCTCTCAAACCTCACAAAATTAGCCCCACATAACAAAACGCAACACGAAAACTTAGTGGATTATAATCCCTCTCCTAATGTAACCCCTCCACACTCTACCATGGATGTGGATATGTTTCTGGATAGCGCTATGACAGAAGCAAATAGCTCTTGTATGTCTACAACATCCCCTCATAGCCAAAACGTGAGAAGTCAAATGGAATTCGGTAAGAAGACATGCCGAAATACACCACTTGTTATGAAAAATAACCAACGTTTTCTAACTCCTAAGAAGAATCCACACTAAGGTAAATAATATTCAAAAGTGTGCTAACAACCAAATTAAAAACACAAATAGGGTCTACGGACAATAACGACACAACTTGCTCGCATACGATGAAAAGTCAAACTAGTAGCTGGTGTAGTGACACTGTCACGCAAAATAGTATAAGTGGCAACACTCAGAGCTCAGCCACCAATCACTCTGGGTTTTCGAAGTATGATACACAAACCAACTTTGACAGAATATAATGAACAAGTCTTCTGGGAATCAAACCACAGTGCAGCAATGCATATAACGAAACCCATGTAAAGTCACTTAGAATGTCTCCAAACAAAAGGCAGATTAATAAGTCATGGGCATCTCAAGGTACCAATGATTTTTTATCCACCACATCCCTGGCATCTCTAACCAAACAACTCATTTGGACCCGTAACAATAATGTCACCTCCTTATCCGGAAGAAAACAGACACGCACACAAGGAATTATTGATCGCATCCAATGTTGTACAAGCATAGACCAAATAAGAACTCCTACCCAAAACTAGAACTACCACATCCTATAATGAATCCAATAATAAAACTCATTATTCACTAAAAAAATAGATGGTTACTCGATAGACACAGGTGAACATGGTACTCACACTAATCATAACACAGGGTTGCTATGCCATGCGGAACCAGTAGATGCCGAACCACCCTTTGATCTGATTAACGAGTCTAAATACTTCAAATACCACTTTAACTCTCAACTTTACTTAATCCTTATTAATGCTAGATCTATCCTAAACAAACCACCAATACTCAGGGCACACACTGGTATATAAACCCCCCAATATTAGTATTACTCAATCTTGGTGTCACTCTAATATACCAGACGAAGAGATAAGCATCAATCGATACACACACTTTCAGTGTGGCAGGGACAGTGGTAAGGGAGAAGGCTGCCTTATGTACTTCCTGAACACACTGTATTGCGGCTAGAAAATAAAGAACTCAACGACATGCACGACACATGGTGGGTCAGGGTACACTTCAAAAGTAATACAGTACAAATAGGATGTATCTAAAGAGCACATGGCACCTTTAGTGACTACGAAACAACTCACCAATGCACTGGAGCAAGTATCCACTCTTCCATACGAGCATAAGATCATATGTAGGGACTTCAACATACCCGACACCACCTGGTACTTATTAACAGACCCAGCTAAATTTAACAAGGTCTTAGGTACACTGGACATTTTCAGCTGGAAACAAATGGTCACTATCCCTACAAGAGGTGACAACGTGCTGGACTTAATATTCTGTCACGATATAAGCCGCCTCTCAATCTTAGTGGGTTCTAAGTTTTCAGGTAGTCACCACAAAACAGTGCTATGTGCTCTGCCACTTCCACTGAATAGCAATGCAGCTCATACCTCCACTTCACAACAAGTAATATGCAGGAACTATAGTAAGGCAAACTGGGCTTCCGTAGAATTAATGCTAAGACCCTCTGAATGGGGCGAATACTTCACCATTGATGACCTCTTAAAAGCCATAATCATCTTCTACCAGAACTCATGCTCAGATGCCACCATTCCAACCCAAACACTAAAAGTTTCCCTACATAGAAAACCGTTTATAAAACCAAAGGGTAGTACGAAACTGAAGAGACTCTCGACAAGTTACTTCAAACACAATGACCTCGGCATATAATAGTCAATATTTAACGCTCTTAGCTGTATCTTACAAGCTGGAGACTTGCGTATGTAGGGTGAAGAACGTGCCGCACTAGTCAGTCCTGCTAGGGTGTACGCTTTCACAGAAATCCTGAAAAAGAGATTCAGTAGCAAAAACCACAGCATTTTTCTCCTCACCGACAGAAGTAGGCTATGCACTGATTCTGCAGACATATGTGAATTATTC